CAACTGGTGCCTGACATCAGTCCAGCTGACTAATGACAGTAAAATTCCCACTGAGATGTGTATGTGTATATAACTTTCCCCTGTCCCACACCCCCACTGCTGAGCTCTTCTGATGATCCCATCCATTGTGTGCAATGATAGTTCTCCCCCTGGCTGTTATGGGAGGGTAGGAAGCAACAGATTGTTCAGCGGGGTTAGACATTTTGCTTTGCCATCACAATAATAATCATATGCTATGGGAGGCAAAAAGTAGTACCTACAATACAGACTAGGGAGTTAGGAACTCTGTGGTCCAGCCTAAATTTGCTGTGCAACTTTGGGCTACCCATGTCCCCCAAGTGCCTGTTTGCACAGATGCAGAAAATGTAGGGATGATACCCAATTATGAAGCTTATAGGGAGTTAGTGATAAGGTAGTTGGCATTGCCTCAAGGCCAGAGCCGTTGTGGAAGGAAGCCACTGAACTTTGGAAGCAAAAGGATGAGAACTGTTTTTTAGGGAATGGACACAGTGTTCAACTAGTCAACCAAAACCATCCTATGGAATTCCAACTTAGTTGTAAGCTTGTTCCATGTACCATATCCATGCCCATTCCTGCTGGAGCAGATATTCTGCTCCAGCTGCATGCTTTTGCTGTGGTGATGCAGCAATTTGCAGTGAAGTGCCACCTCTCTTTCTCCCTGAACATTAAAGGGCTTGAGCCCTCTTCCCCTACACACTTGCACATTGTGTATTTTGCTATCCATCTAACGCTTGTGTGTGCATGCATATGGCTGGTGTGGTGCCTAGGTGAAAGTGGGTAGGATGGGAGATGTTGTGCACCACTTGATTGGGCTCTACTCCCATCCATATCTCCTGGGAATGACCTGTCAGAGAGCTCAGGGGTTATTGATGGACTTCAGCATCTGTCTCCAGGAATGGAGAGAAACAGTGTGAAGCCCTGGTCATGAGGAGTTTTCAGAAACCCACAGTTCACAACTCTGCTCCTTTCCTCTGCAGCAGCCACCACTATCAGCTGTGCAGACTCCAACTGCAGATACCAGTAAGTGGGAGCACTGCACTGGGACTAGAGGAGTTGCTACCCCTAGGTCCATCCTTTTGCTATTCTTAGTGGAATGGGAAGCTTGAGGAACAGCTTGGAGAAAAGAGCAGTAAGCAACTACTAGTTGTGCATCTGGGGAACCCCAAGTGCCTGAAGTGAGACTGTAGTGCAGTCTGCTGCTGCAGGAAGCATGTCATCCCCAGGAATGGCCCTGCTCTCCTGGTAACCCTGAATAACCCACTTGTGTGGACTTGTGAGGGTCTCCTGTATTATCTTTGTAAAGGTAGAGCTCAGATGTTATCAACAAACCTTACCACAGTGTTGTCACTAGACTTCCTCTATGTAGTGTTTACATTCGCATGTAAGTACATTGCAAATAACGATTAACCTCTCTCTGAAAAAACTGAGGCAGTTTTTAAAGGTATATATATGATTTGGATGTCCAATCCCCATTAATTTGTATGGGAATGGGGCATCTGTGTCCCTTAGACATCCTTGAAAACCTCACTGAGTGGCTTTTGGGGATAGAATAAGTAGTAATTGTTTCAAAGTACAGTACCACAATGATGGTTTTGTGTTTATCTTAAGTTACAGTAAATAACTAGAAATGTTTCCCTGACTTTGCATGGATGGTTCTGCATTGAATGTCAGAGGACTAATTTTAGCTGCTCACAGTACAGTACATGGACACTTGCATAGCATGGAAGATTAGAACTCACAGTTATATAATCAGAATAGATTCCCCCCCACACACACTGATCTGTGATGTGTGGAAGGACTGAGCAGATACCTTTTGAGAAGACTGGACTGCGAAAGATCTGGTTCTTCCCTTGAGGCTGAAATGAACACTAAGCGCAGAGACCAAAAACATCTTTTTGCTGTAAAAGTGAGAGGACTTTGGAAAAAGGCAAATAAATAAAACAACTCCTCCCTCCCCCAAACCAAAAAACCCAAAAAACTTCTTGTTTTTCTCACCTTCTAGGTTTAATATGGAGTGAGAGAGTGTGCTTATTGTGCATGGGCACATTTATTCTCTGCATCTGAATAACTTTGGAGAAAAATACCACACTCTCTTCCCATCTTCTCCGCCCCAGGCAGGTGGCTCTAAGCTCTTTGCATTTAGAACTGGGTTTCATTTATGTGCATCTACAATGCCCCGTCTACTGCAGCTCAAATCTTTATTTGCAACTGTATGTACCATCTGTACACTATAAAGATGGGTTCAGATGGCTTCATAAAGTACGGGTTCAGCTCTGCCCTCCTGTATGCTATGCATCTCCATTAGCTAAACTGGAGTTTTTTTCCAGTTACACGCTGGTGCCACTGACAACTGAATTTGACATGATAGTGGTTTGGTAAAGATGTAGGTTTTTTGGGGAAGGGCAGCTCCACTTTCAAGTGATGCCGAAAACATAAGGCCAGAATGTCTGCTAATTGTATGGTATTGTGGGATAAGTGCCAGCTTTTCTCCAGGGACTCAAGCAAGTGGTAATTAGAAACAACCCCTCTCTACAGCCTGTTCTGTATGTTCAGTGAGCTTGCCACTGGAATCCATGGCAAATAAGTGTTCTCTGATATTTTTGTTTAGGAACAGTTTCTTGACCCTGGAGCAGATGAGTAGAGGGAGCTGATATGATTCTTGCCGTGTCTTTTCTGGCTTATAGGAGAGTTGTACTCTGCTCTCAGGATTTTGAAATATGAAAACCTAAGACTTTGTCTTTATTGTTTCCAGTTTCAGCTGCTGATTGAAGTTGCCTGGCCTCTCTTTATCTTCTTTATACTGATCTCCGTAAGACTTTCATATCCGCCCTATGAGCAACATGAATGTAAGTACAAAACACAGTTTGACCATGCCGGGTACAGTTTGTTTCATATGTAGGAGGGAGGGTTACAACTACTAAGAAGTAAACAGGGGGGTTCTTGGTTTTATGCCTTGAGTGAAACTTTTCAGGGCTGTTTTAAGATCCTTCCTTTCACCTCAGTCTGCTGCAGGGAGAGATGGGTCCTGCCAGTTTGTTTTTTGCCTTGTGGCTTGAGCACTGCCCTTTATCACTGCTGTGCTGTAATAGCATTCCCCAGTGTGGCTGCCTCCTATAGTGCAGCTAATGTTAAGAATTGCCTCATCTGAGCAGACCCATGCTGTTGTGCACCTACACAGAGCCCTGGTTGACCGGAGAGTACACAACCATCTAGTGCAGAGCCCTTTGCCTTGCAGGGAGGTTATTTGCATAAGCCGGCTAAGCAGCAGAGCCCTCCCCTCTCCCAGCATGGAAAACTACGACTCCATCATCTTCCTGTAGCATTGCCTGTTCCTCTCTTTTGTGAGGATAATGCTCTAACCAGGATAGAGCGCTGGATTGACACTGGGGGCGTGGGTTCTGTTCTTAACTTCTGCTGCTTTCCTGCTGCGGAGAAAATAATTTCCCGTGTCTGTGTGTAATTAGGCCATGTCTGTATAGCGTGATGCAGCCAGAGCTAGCTGCATTATCTCTGTGGTGCTGCACTGCTCTGTGTAGACATCCTATATTGCAATGTGTCTGGGGCAGAGACTCTCTCTTACTAAATATATATACAGCACCTAGCATTGTGGAGGTTTGATCTTCAGATGCTACAAAGGGCATCCATTCTAATGAGTTGCTATGCTGGCTTTGTACTCAGTAGATAATCCTGGACCACCCCCCCTCCACCCTCCTTTTTAGGACAACTGATTTTTTCATTAACTTCCTTTTTAAGGTTCTTGGATAGAGATGAGCCTTCTTTTTTTCTTTTACCTCTTAACATTAGAAGGCTTGCTCCACACATTCTCAAGATACTTCTTCAGGACTCCAGGTTGTTTTGCTATTTAGCAAGCCTGACTTCTGTCAGCTGTGCCCCTTGTGCTCTTCAGATAGTAACTCTTTTCTCACATTAGCAATCAGATGACTGAGGAAGGGCTTCTTGTTTACCTTTCCATTCCAGGATTGCTGCTAGGTAAGGGCTAATACTTGTGCTAAGAGTCAGCTGTATAAAACTGGGGGGGATTCATTAGTGACTTTAAAATAGACATAGTGGGTAATGGAAGTGGTTTTGTAGCATCAGCACACTATTCCTCACCAATGCACTGTGTACAAAATGTTGCCTGCCAGCTGGGATCTCTTCAAACAAAGATGCTTCATTCAGCATCTGGACTTCAGTGGGACCCAAGTTTGTTTGCAGTGTCCCATTTTCCAGCAAACTCTGGAGTTTGTCAGCTTTGTTCTGTGCCCAGCTGGTCTGTTGCTTCTCGCAGTGTTTGGCAGGCACCTGAAGCTTCCTTGTGTGAAACTTCATGTGTTCAAATTCTTTGTGACATTCATTTCGTCTTTCCTTATGAGGTCTTGCAAGTGGCTGGCACAGCAGACTAAAGGAGGTCAGCAGCAAATGCCCAGTTTAATTCAGACTTGCACCCAGATTTGCATACGTCTGTCTCAATCCTTTGCTTTAACACTGCTGTGTTGAGAGCTGAATTTTAATAGGCTGTTGTTTCACCTGAAACGTCAGTGCTTCACCTCCTTCCTCCTTTTTAATAATGCTTTTATTTTCCAAGGGTTCTAGTGGGAAGCCTGGAGTGGCGCCTGACAACTTCTTTTTAATTTGCTCTCTAATCTGTTAGTTTCCAAGAACAAGTAACTGGATTCTTTCAGTCTGGTTCAGTTCCGCTGAACACTCACTCATTTGCAACCCGACACAAATATCTTGTAAAGCAGAATGCTGCCTTTTGTTGAATTGGGAGGGGGCTGTGAGGAGAAACCTTGAAACCAGGTCACAATGAACTCTGGCAATTCTACGTATGCCTGTAGGGGAACAGGGTTGTTATCTGCCGTGGTGTTGCTATACAGCAGGGGTTTCAACTGGGGGTACTTGAAGGCCCGAGGGGGCATGGGCAGCTGGGGACCATACCCCCCATTCCTTTCTCCACATCTGACTGCTGGGTGTACGCTGATTCAAAAAGGTTCAAAACCCCTGGTATACAGTGTTGTGAAATGACTGACTTGCCAGTCACTCCGGATGGTTGTATTAACTAGGCAATGCACAAGTGCTTTGAAACAGTAAAGGGCTTAGATGTTTTGGGTCAATCTGGTTTAAAACTAAACTAAAATTGCCAGCTTGCATCTAAGAGGGTCCCAACTCTTACTGCATTAGACTGGCCATTCAGAAATCCAATTTCTAAGTGCCTGGACTAGTTAAAATGGCAGTTTATCTGAAATGAAGGGAACACTTGCTTAGTTTAGTTGCTATTTATGTGGCCTCTACCATAGTCAACCAAAGACCACTGTGCACACAGCTCTTCAAGATAGCTGGCTTTATCTTTTGTTTCTGTCGTTTTCTCTTTCATCTAGAGTGTCCTGACTCCTGGTGATTAGAAAACATTTGCTTAAAATCCTACCAAAAACCTCATGTTAATTTTTTGAAATTACTGAAAAGGAAGAGTAGTGCTTGCAGATCTGCCTCAAAGGAGATGCTAACCAGTCTGTTTTTCATGTGGTCCACCTCTTAAATACAAAGGGTGGCTGCTTGCTATTAAATGGCAGCGGCTATTTCACATTTTCACTCTCTGTGCATGAGTAATAGTGTGCTTATGTCATCTTTGTAGACTTTGTTTATTCTTTCTTTCATTCATTGTAAGGGACGAGTAGTATGGGGTGCTTCCATTGCACAGAAAACAGAATGACGCGGGCTTTATCAGACCCATAATCTTGTAGGCCAAGAAAATTTAGAACCTAAAAATCAGAAATTTAGGACCTAAAGACCCCGCATCCAGTTTTTGCACATTGCTACAAGCCAAATTCTTCTCAATAAAAGCAGTGTAAATCAAGAGTAACTTCAGGGTCTTGACTCTGTGTGTGTGTGTGTGTGTGTGTGTGTGTGTGTGTGCGTGCGTGCGCGCGCACATGTACATGCATACATGTCAACTAAGCCTGGCAGCTGGGTACACAAGGTCCATGTGTGACATTTTGCACCAGAAAAAAATATTTCCCTTGGGGTGTGCCCTGAACAGCGGATAGATGTAAGGAAATGGAGGGCAAGAGGGTGGCCATATTCGTGTCCTTTTGCTACACCAAATTCAAGCTCTTAGCAATGATCACTATTCCATACCCACTCTGTTTGCCTGCTGGCCCCTCATTTTTAGTCTGCAAGAAAAGGTAGAGGTGGTTGTAAGGCTTACCCAGGAGCTGTCAAAAGTCACTGCCAGAACATGAGAAACCAGGTACTGAAGTGGAAGAAATTTGGATAGTATTTTAACTCCAAATTAAGGGGCAGATAACTAATTCCTTGTTCATGCCAAATTTCTACCAAGTCAATCCTGCCCACTCCATTTTTATCAGGAGTCTCTCAAATGTTGGCATGTTTTTCTTCTAAAAGGCTCAGCTCCTAGAATCATTTGCTCCTGTGACCTGTGGAAATCTCCAGTTTCATTACAAAGAGACTTGCTTAGCCTGTAAAATCTCATAAATGTTGGAAGAACAGATGAATGACTCTCAAAATACTGGAACTGGCAATTCTGTTCTCTTTTAGTAAAGGTGTGAGATGCATAAGAGACACAAGGTTAAGTCTGCATGATGTCTTTCCTGTTTCTCAGAAGATTTCACAGTTTTGGCAAAATCAGACCTTTGTTCTCAAATGTTTGCTCTTCTGTTCCAGGTCACTTTCCAAATAAGGCCATGCCTTCAGCAGGAACCTTGCCTTGGGTCCAGGGGATTATTTGTAATGCTAACAACCCTTGCTTCCGCTACCCAACTCCTGGGGAATCCCCTGGTGTTGTCAGAAACTTTAACCGGTCCATGTAAGTACCAAATCTTGTTTCTCCTTGTATGTGCTCATAGGAGAAAAGCAGGAACTGGGAGGTTTAGGACCAGCATCTGATTGTTAGATGTGGATTAAGGGCAAGGGTGCCAAGGCGCGCATTTGACAGACCAGACGTGAGTGTGGTTCATTGGGTTGACAGCCCAATGAATTTGTGAATTCTGCTAAATACTTTGTCACAAGGACATGAAAAAGGAAAGGAAGAGTTAAGGGTCTTTCACTTGCTACTTGGAAAAGGATTTTAAAGAAATGGAGATGCATTTTTAGAATGGTGAGCTTTAAAGTGCTCTTTCCAAATGGCATTTTCGCTCCCACCAGACGAGAGCAGTCTGACCTGCATGAGGAGCTCCCTACCCCCACCTTTATACAACTGCTTTCCAGTGTTTGAAGGTTTCCAGAACAACTTTGTTTGATTTTTCTCTCTTACTAGCTGGTCTCACTGTTGTCCAGGGGTGATGGCTTAACAAAGCTTTCACTGTACCATGGAGGGTTGTATTTTTACATAAAAGGAACTGAGTCTTGGTACCAAGGATGTCAAACTGAATCTTTATATGCAGGTTTGTGTGGCCTTGCATGGTTAATGATGGCTTTTCCTTCCCTTCCTCCAGTGTTTCCCGCTTGTTCTCTGACGCCAAGAGGTTGCTGTTGTACAGCCAGCAGGACAGCAGCATAAAGGATGTTCAGCAGTTCCTGGGAAAAGTTCGGAAGCTTGGAAAGTCTGGCTCAGGTAACTGGAGGCTGAAAAAAGCCTCGTGCATTTAACTGTAGTTTGCTGCTTACAGCTGATTGCCCTTTTCTCTCTTTTTGTAAACAAGATGGTATACAACACAAAGATGTACAGATTATTTAGCAAATCGGATCCATCATACCAATACAAACCTCATCTCCAGATTCAGAGTTCTGGGCTGTGTATTTATGCATCTTTTTAAGTGTTTTTTGTAAAATTACAGCCTTCAGAGTTGACCCAAGATGCATTTGAGAATTTGCTAGTGCTGTAGCTTTTTGCATGCATTTTTGTGGAAATAATAGCTGTGTATTTCTAAGAACAATGGCAAAGCAGGTACTTCAGTGTGGCTAAAATGTTATGTAAAGGAAACCAAGTCAACGAGACAAAAGAGCACAGCTGGGGGAGAGTGAGTGCAGACCTATAGTGGAATCTTATTTTGAAACTAATTTACCTACTTCCTTCCTAATATTCAGTTTTTTAGAGCACTTATGAGACTCCTTCCACTATCAAATAGTTTGCAGGGGCCCTAAAACAAAGTGCTGTCCTTTCCCTCCAGCCATGCTTACACAGGAAACTTGCTGTCTCTGGCAGCTCTCAGTGCTGCTCTGGACTGGCCACTTCCTGAACTAGAAGCAGTATTGATGTGTTCCCATGGTGTGAATGGGTAATTGGCCCTATCACTCAGTGCTAGATAACCTGCCCAAAGTGCTGTGCAGATGTGGTTACACCACTTCTGGTTTAGGAGGTTCACATGCAGGCTGTGTGCTTGAGGGTACTGCCACCATGGATGGCCTGGGGCCAGATCTGATCCGAGTGTCTCAAACTTTAATCTGCTTATTCTTGCAGTACCCATGGGAGGACAGGAAGTGCTGCTGTTCCTCTCACTTCCCAGGCTGGGAACAGTGGCCAAAAGTAAATGACTTGCCCAAGGTCACACAAAGTCTGTAGCAGAACAGGCAACTGAACCCAATTCTCCAAAGATTCTAACCAGTGGGCTGGAGCAGTGGTTTTTAACTTGAGGGTCTGCAGATTATCACTAAGTGGTCCTCAAAAGATGCCTATGATCAATCAGAAGTGTGTGAATACCCACACTTATCATTCAAAGGGGTCTGCACCTCTTTGACTGTTTTTAGAAGTCTACAAATGAAGAGTTGAAAACCACTGGGCTACAGTAAATGACAGCACCTAGGAAGGGGCTTCTGTGTGTTCTGCCTCCCTTTTAGAAGTGATGGGGTGGAGGGTGCTAGTGGTTTAAAAAAAAAAAGATCTAGCAATTAGTGAAATGGTCAAGTCATGCACATGTCTCTGCGCCCAAGCAGAGGCCTGGTATCATCTAGGGGGGAGTTGGCACATGCTCAGTACTCTGCAGAATCAGGGTCTTGGTCATAAGATTATGTGGTTACCGTCTCACCTCTGCCACATGTGCTGCCTTTATCTGTTCATGAATCTTACATCTATTCCAATCCTGCCAAGTCATTCCAGGAACTGCTCACTGGACCACACTTAGACTATGTGCTCCCTTAAAGCAGAGGTTGTGCTTTACTGCTTTTGGTAATCTTTCTCATGGCTCCAGTCTTTGGAAGCAGTAGTGCCTGTAAGTGGACACAAGCACTCTGCATCATAGAGCAAGGCTGTGCAAAATGTTTATCTAGATCAGTAGTGCTCAGTCTCTTGGCTGAGTGGTATGGGGCTAGTCTGCAGGCTGAACTGGGCCCTGGGTCCTGCACTACTCTCTCAACTCCTCATGGACTGGGATTGGGTCCTGGGAGCCTGACACCACCTCCTCCTGGCCCTGTGTGCTGGGATTAGGCATCCCATTTGGTGTGTAGGGCCCAGGGCTCCCCATCGGTCTAGAAATTTGGCAACAGGGGAGTGATGACACTATTCTCCCACCACAATTTTTCCAGACCCATGGGGAACCTTGCAGGCTGGATGACGTTGGGCTGTGGGCCAGGGATTGAGCACTGCTGATTTTTAGAGGATTTCAAGTGCGGAAGTCAGGGCTGTGCCAGTTCCATAATTACAAAAATCAGCCCACAATTTTTCACAGCATCTGCTTTCTCTTATATTTCCTAAGCCCTGCCTGTGGCCTTGAGTTTCACCTGTGAGGAGAATTGAAACACTTCTCTGCCTTGGGGACTTTAAGAGCCTTGAGCAGCTGCTCCCTTCTTTGTCTCGTGAGTGTGGACAGATGGGACCATTGTCTTGCATCCCAAACTCCGCAAGGTCTCCTTGGGTGCTGGGATGCAGCCTGAGCTCTGTGCTCAGAGGCCTCAGTAGATTTAATTGTCTTAATGTGAAGTAAGGCCACTCTCCTTCAAAAAGAGGGGCCTACATGAAGGTTTAACAAATTTATACTAATGCACTTTAAAATAACACCTTTTGTTAACTTGAGCATGGCTTCCTGAGTATCCTCATACTGATAGGCCTTAACTATGATGCATTCAACATTCCTATAAGCCTGCCTGCATTGCATTTTGGGAGCCAATGCCATATACAGGGCAACTACACATTCTCATTCCACTCGGCTCCAGCAAAGGAGAGGGGCAGTGGCCAAGATTCTTACTAAACAGTGGGCAGTTTTTGCTTATCCTTAATGTCCGAGTACCCAGGTGCTAGCTTTTTGGATGGTGAGTGCCTCGGCACCGTCTTGAAGGGGTATTACTCTGGGCATCCAAAATTTGAGGGGCTTCAAATCACTGGTAGGGGATGGAAAATTTTAGCTTTTGTTTTTCAGCGCCGTATCCCTGCTGAAATCAGTGATGGAATTCATGTTGCCTTCCAGAAGCTAACAGCACGTCATAAACAGCAAGCATGATAGTTGCATGAGAGTGCACTGAAAAGATTATACTTCAGGATTCTGTCCTGAAACTTGCAATGAGAATAAAATTTGGTTGTACAAAAACTCTATCACAACTACACAGCTGCATGAGGCATCCAGGGGAAGAGTCATACCAGTAAATGGCTTGCATAGGGAGCAACTTCCTAACTCCAAGCCAGCACGCTCATGTTATGTTTGGGAATAAAGACTGGTAAATTGATTGCAAAACAAAAGTTTGGAGCCAGCACATCAAAGATCATATTTCTGTAACAAAGTAATTTAAAAAAAAAAATTCAAGCGTGTATAAAAGGGTAGAGGAGGGAAGCCTCCAAACAGCATTTGCTATGGTTCCCAATGTATTTAGCATGACAGACCCTCTATTGTTGGTGCAGCACAGAAGGAACAAAGCTGGTTTGTCCCTTTCATTACATGGTGATTTACAAAGTCTCCATTAAACCAAGTCTATATCGGTCTCTCATGGCTGCCTGATGTCTTTCTCCAGTGACACATAGAAAAAATGATCTTTCAGCTTGAAGTGCCACAGACTACCACTTCTTGAAGAATAAAGGGAGGGAGGAGGGATCTGGTAGTCTGCAGTACCATTCCCAGCCACCAAATGTCTGTAATGTGGTTTGCTAATTCTATTTTAGTCATTGCTGTTTTTTTGTTTGTTTGTTTGTTTTTTTTTGAGGGGGGGCTGGAGTTGCACTAGAACTGATCTTTTTTCTCCCTCCCCCCTTCCCCCCTCCTATTTGTTTTATTTTTCCACTGAAAAATGGCTTTTTCAATGGAAAAAGTCTGCAGAAGGCTCATCTTGAGATTTTTTGTTCTCAGTGAAATGGCTTCTTCTTTTCCCTCCCATTTTACTAGAAAAAGTATCAACCTCTCCGTTACAATTTTAAAATCTCATTTAAAACTTCAAGTTTTTTTCTATCAACACGTACAGGAAAAAAATTAATTCCTGGCCAAATATTTTGTTACATTTTGAGGGGAAATAATTTTAAAAGACTGCTTATCATTTTTGAGCAGTCCAAATGTAGTATTTTAATGTTGTGTATTGTGGTAGTTTCTAAGAGCCTTCCCTGTGTGAGGGACCCTTTTCTAATGCAAACACCTTGTGGAAAACAGTGCTGTTTGGGAGAGTGTTTTGTGTGAGTTGCAAGCCCAAGGTTGTTAGGTCATGCCATATTCAAAATAGATGCTGCTGCTAACCGAATCCTCATGTTGTATATTTTTTCCACTTAAGGAACAGATTTAAGGCTGTGTCTTACTGCTCCTGTCTTACAGAAAAGATAGATTGGGTTGGCATAAATGGCTCAATGCCAGAGGATCAAATTCTATGCATCAGAAATTAAATGTTTGACCTGCCACGTGGAATGAGCAACCAGCTTGTAGCTTGGAGAACTTCTCTTTGGGAGATTGAGAAAGAGGCATTTAATCTGCCAGTATCTGTCTTCGAGGGGAAAATTCATGGGAGACTGACTATTGACTTCTATGAAAGCAAAGGCTGGGCAACCCTGAATCACCTGTTTGAGCAGCCTGCTAACAAAACTAGTAGACAAAAATGTCATGTTGCTCTAACGTCTAGCCCTAACCATCACTATGTAAAGAAATCAACTATATTTATCTGGAGTAACAATACTAGATCTCCTCACGAAAGTCTCCCATGAGCGGAATTTGCTGAACAATTTGTTCTGCTGATATCCTCTTCTCACAGTTAAAAAATTTTGCCTGATACTTGATGTAAAACTCCAGCACAGCAGACTTTAAGCCTCTTTCCATCAGTCGTGCCTTCTGTGGCAAGGAAGATTCATGTTTTTCTCCCTCCTTCGTATGGCAGCCTTTCAGGTAGTTGAAACTGCTCTTGTGTCCTGCAAACCAACTTCACAGCCATGCAAAATGCTGAGACATTATTCACCTTCCTCTGAAAGAGAGAGAGAGTGGGTCTCCTCAGATACTGGCACTGATTGTCATCAGGGAAGAGGGTACTCTCAGATGCAAATGTCCCATACAAGTAGTAGGACCTATTACCAAACAAAGCCACTCCTAGATAATTATTTAAATTGCTTTGTATTGCCCTTCCCAGTACAGGTCTAGCCCTATGTCAATTGAAATCAGTTGTGGCAAGATTTTTCACTGGGGCTTTGGAAGAGGCCCTAAATGTGCTATAAGGGGAAAC